TATTAAACAAGAGAATAAGTCTGAGATGAACAGTACTCTAGGATGTTATGTGGAATATAGCCCCTAAAAGAGAATGTCTTTTAGGTTGTTTTTTCTGTGATGATAAATGAAAAATAGTTGTAAGACTTGTAAGACTTGTTGACATCTATGTGTGCCATGATGTCAAGTGTTAGAATGAATTCAGTGGTAAATTAAGGGATAGGGAAAAAAAAGGCGAACCGCCATTTGCTAAAAATTCCTTCTGAAGTGTTTGTGATGTCTTTGCTGTTGAGGACACTTATTTGTAATTTTCCAGAATTAGATCTGAACCCATCCAGAATGGGCTTTAAGTGGGAAGAAATATCTAGCGCTATTTTGGGAGGAACAAAGATTTTTCAGTGTGCGGGTCAGTACTCTGAAGGAGAAGGTTTATTTTACTTTTTTAGGAGACTTTTGTCATGGGTAAAAACTGTGTAGTGTGCTACTCACCTTATTGAGGGAACTGGCGGAAGAGCTCACCAAGACACACTTCATTGTTTATCGACAGTCCTGGCAGACCAGAGAGGTCCTAGATAACTGGAACTTGGCCAATGTGATGCCCATCCACAAGAAAGGGCCAGAAGGAGGATCTGAGAAACTGCAGGCTTGTCAGCCTGACCTCAGTGCCCAGCAAGGTTATGGAACAGATCATCTTGAGTGCGATCACACGGCACCTACAGGATGGCCCAGGAATCAGACCCATGCATTTAGGAGGGGCAGGTCCTGCCTGACCAACCTGATCTCCTTTCATGACCAGGTGATCCACCTGATGGATGAGGAGAAAGCTGTGGATGTAGTCTACCTGGACTTCAGCAAAACCTTTGATGCTATTTCCCACAGCGTACTCCTGGAAAAGCTGGAAGCCCATGTCTTGGACAGGTGCACTCTCCACTGGAGTAAACTGGCTGGATGGCTGGCCCCAGAGAGTGGTGGGGAATGGTGTTGCATCCAGTTGGTGGCCGGTCACCAGTGGTGTCCCCCAGGGTCCAGTCCCATTTAATATCTTCATTGATGATCTGGATAAGGGAATCGAGTATAATATCAGCAAATTTGCAGATTACACCAAGTAGGTACAGGACTGTTGATTTCCTTGAGGGTAGGAGAGCTCTGCAGAGGGACCTGGACAGGCTGGATAGATGGGCTGAATCCAAAACCAAATCCTGCACTTTGGCCACAACAACCCCATGGAGCACTACAGGTTGAGGACAGAGTGGCTGGAGAGCAGCCAGGCAGAAAGGAATAGGAGTTCTGACTGACAGGAAGATGAGCCAGCAGTGTGCCCAGGTGGCCAAGAAGGCCAGTGACATCCTGGCCTGCATCAAAACAGTGTGTCCAGCAGGACCAGGGAAGTGATTCTTCCTCTGTACTTGGCACTGATGAGGCTGCACCTCGAGTCCTGTGTCCAGTTCTGGGCTCCTCAGTTTAGGAAGGATGTTGAGGTGCTGGAGCAGGTCCAGAGAAGGGCAACAAGGCTGGTAAAGGATCTGGAGCACAAGTCCTATGAGGAGAGGCTGAGGGAGCTGTGGTTGTTTAGCCTGGAGAAGGGCAGACCTCCTCACTCTCTACAACTACCTGAAAGGAGGTTGTAGCCAGGTGGAGATCAGTCTCTTCTCCCAGGCAACCAGCAGCAGGACAAGAGGGCACGGGCTTAAGCTGCACAGGCGAGGTTTACATTAGACATTTGGAAGAGGTTCTTCACAGAAGGAGTGATTGGGCACTGGAAAGTGCTGCCCAGGAAGGTGGTGGAGTCACCGTCCCTGAAGGTGTTTAAGAAAAGACTGGATGTGGCACTTAGTGCCATGGACTAGTTGAGAAGGTGGTGTTAGATCATAGGTTAGACTTGATGATCTCAGAGATCTTTTCCAACCTCATTGATTCTGTGATTCTTGATTAATTTTTTCCCCATAAATTTGAATTTAGGCAAAGTAATACTGGACATAACTTGTAAAGTTCTCATAATGACTCTATAGTGTGCTATAGGGAACAATACAAATTGATGGCAACACAAGATGATGGCAAGAAGATGCACAGGCTAAGATATAGCTTTCTGTATTCTTCTGACCCATAACATGGCCTTCAGCTTTGTTTTATTTGTATGGGGTTTTGGGGTTGGTTTTATAGGTACCACTGGTCCCTCAAACCTTTTAGTGAGATTGATAGCTGCTTGTGCATTTATTCTACAATCTCTTTACAATATATAATTTTTGTGGAAGCTTTATACATATCACAATTTATTCTATTGTCCTAATCTTTTCACTTCTTAAAATAGCTGCTATTATGTCGTATTTTGAAGGGCTGAATTGTTTTCTACTTTTTCCCCCTGTTGCATAAAGATTAAGTGGACTATCTTAGTTTCAGGTCAGATACCATTTTATCAGGACAGTGAAATGACTGTGGATGAAATCCCAACCTGCAGCATTTCTGTCTCCCACATTGAAAAGACAATTACTTAGATCCTTGTAGATGGGCTTTAAAGCTGGGCGTAATCCAGTGGTGAATGAAATGCAGAACTGTACAAATCAGTGACATTTAGCCTAACCACACATCAGTCCAGGTGGCAAGATAAATTGGTATTCCACTGTTTCCAGCCCATTTTCATGGTTAGCACTCCTAATACAAGAAACAGTTTTGGTACCTCCTGTGTGATTTTTGTGCATGTGCACACAGTTATGGAAACACACTTTATTCTGTATTTGAATTTTCTGGTTCAGGTAAACTTCTAAAGCACTTGAATTTCATTTCACACTCGTCTTAAAAACAATTGTACTTTCTGGAGAGAGAGCACTCACCTTTTCCTTTGTCTTTCATCCTTCCTCTCATTTGTGTGAAGAAATTGTATCACTCAGTTGTTACATTTCAGTAGTAGATGCTACACCCATTTTACCCGAAAGCATATTTTTCTGAAATAAACCCTAGATATATTTACTTGTCAACAGATATGCTCTATAACTTCCTTCAAGAAGGATAAAAATAGTAAAATACATGAAGCATTTAGATGTTTCTGAAATCTACCCTTAAAAAGAGCAAGAGCCAGCAATCCCTTGTGCCAACCTCTTTTATCCCTTGCAAAGCTATTTCTCATTTATTGTAATGCTTAACAATTCCATTTCACAGTGTGCTTTAGATTCCCAACAACAGCAAAAAAAAAAAAATTACTTAAGAAAAAACAGCTTGCAAATCCAACACCAGGCATCTGTTTCTGTACGGTTCTAAATGAAGCCTTACCATTTCTTAACTAATGAAAATCTTTTCCATGTGGAATAAACTCTTAGTTCTTAGCACCATTAGTAATGCTTAAAAAAAATACATTCAAAATGGTTCTGTTGCCAACTGCCTTTGACTGTCTCAATAAGACATTGAAACAGACCTTCTGCTCTAAATTAATAAGGCCAATCACAGCCACACAAAGCCCAGAATGACTGATCATTCTTCTAGTGTCGTTGCTATCTTTACTGAGGTCAGATAAATCACTTTCAAGCTGTTAAATCAATGATCATAAATTAGGGCTCTGTTTTTACAGCACCTTGTGGGAAATTCTCATGGTTAAATTAATCTAACAGCTGCAGTGAAGAGCACCTCCCACAAGATCATGTCAAAAGTTCTCCCCCTACTCACCACTTTTTTTTTTCTTTTAAAAGGGAAAAAAAGGACTGAATTATTTGTTTTTACCTAGCACATAAAATGAAATCCCTCTGTCTATCCCTGCTAATTCGTGTTTCAATTGTACCCAGCTGTTTAAATTGCACTGTGCAGAGATTGCCTTGATCCCCAGGTGCTGGTACTCCATCTGTGCTGCTCTGAGAGACTATTTACAGCCGAGGTTAGGCCAGTGATTGCTGGGATGGAAAACTCATTTCTCAGCCTGGCTTTTATTTACACTCTTATTAAAGATCCTTTCACTCATGTTGGAATGGCAGCTAGTGGCTGCAGTAAGCGTTTGGCATTGAGCCAAGCAGCAAAATTACCATGTCGATGAAAGATAGCCTGCTTCCATTTTAACCTTTCACTGTTCCCCCTTTCCATCTATATTTGCATGAAGAAGGATGATTATTGAAAGAGATAGGGGGACAAAGGGATGAGAGAATCCTTGTCAACTGAGCTTTTCAAGGGATAAACCAATGGTTTGTGATCAATTTTGAGAAATCTTTACTGTCTTACTAATTTCCCACTCCTTTCCCTTAATTGCTATTAGATTTTATTTTTATAGAGCTCATGCTCTGTTTGCATCCTTCCCCCACTGCTACCCTGTGCCTTGTGAACACAACCCTGGATATGTCTGCAACGTTGAGGTTTCTACTTCATCCCCAATGCAGGTCACACAGAGCCACAGCAACACCCTCGAAGCATTTTTCGCCTACAAATATGCCTCTGAGAAATGAATCACTTTCTTGGGACCAAAGAGCTCATTGCACACACCGTGTTATGCTACTGGGGAGGGCAAGGGGAGTATGACCAGTGGGTGGGGGAGGCTGGCATGCAGTCATCACACTATGGCCCTAGATACATTTTAAAAATAAATATTTCTCCAGAGACCTCAGTGCGTTTGTTTTGTAAGAACAGAGGATTGGTGACAAGAAAATCTACCTCACATGTTGGGAGACAACAACCAACATTGTTAAGTGCCAGCTATAGCCCAGCACAACAAGCAGGAGACCCCAAACCCTCAAGCATCTCTATCAAGCTCTGTTTGTGAGGCAGCCCATGATTGGAAGTGCAGTAGCTATGGTGGTTCTTGACTGCTAGCAAAGCCACACTTTTCTCCCTTCTCCTGCTTCCAGAGCAGGAGAGATGAGTCTATTTCCATTTTTCCTGAGTGGAAGAGCACTGACTCTGCTGACAGGTTTACAAGGACTGGTGTTCTTGCTTCTGAGCCTTGGTTTTGGTAGTGGGCAAGTAGAAGCATTCATCCCCTACCCCAACAAAAAAAGAGGCTATTTTCTGAGGGATTTAAGCCTTAGGTGTTTATGTCATCTGTTTTTTAGGCACTACTTAACCTTGCATGCCCCCAAGAAATGCAGGCTCCACTCATCACCAGGAGGATGCTGGTGATCAGGGGCAGGTAACTTCACTGACCCAAGCTGTCTGACAGCCACAGGCTGGTGCATTCCTAGGAGCTGCAGATATATGTGGCTTTTCAATACAAAAGTATCTGTTGAATCCTCCAAAGAATGAACAAAATTGAGTTATTCCCAGTTCAATTTTTAAAACTTGATTTTGTCTTCATTGAGTATGAGACACCTGGAGAAAGGATTGCCTTGCTATTTCTTCCTCACTAGTCCTCCTAAAAGGTAGAGGGTTTGTTAACATAAGCATAAATGTATATTTAGCTGCATTCTGACAGCTAAAAGAGGTGTATCTACAGAATACCGCTTGCTTTCAGCTCCTGGAACAGGCACCAACAGATCACATCTTCCAACGTTGGTTGCTGCTCAAAGTTATTTTTTCCTGTATACATACATTACATATATATATACACACATATACACAATATATAATTATTATAAGTTCAATTTCAATATTCTACAAAAGCTTATTTATTAGAACTCAGTCTGTGCCACATAGCTAACCTCAGGACTCCAGGTTAGTTGCGTGTTGTTTTTCCCATTTTCTAATTGACTGAGTACCTGAGTCCCACGCTACCTGCTTTCCTAATGAAGCCAGCACCAGGGAAATCTTGCAGGAGTGGTAGCAGAAAGGAAAGACTGAGAAATTTTACATAACAGTAAATATTTTTCTTTTTTTCCCCCTCTCCTTCCTTTTTTTATTGGCACTTAACACATCTTCCCTAAAACACCCTTCTTAGAAAAATGTTACCACAGAAAGATTTACTGTCTGAGCATTGTGTTTTATATTTTTCCTATTCATAGAATACTTATATGTCTGGACACAAAACTTAGTTTGAAGCTTGTGTTTTGATTCTTGTCTGGCTCATTTAAACTGCTTCTATGCTGGTGCTCAAGCAGAGAGGGAGTAAGAATGATGTTCCAGCTCCTCTAACATATTCTAAATTCCCAGATGTAAAATTCAATTGCATGAGGGCCGATGAAAAACAAGCACTAAGAGAGGGCACAAAGACCAGCAAAGTAAATTTATTTTTTTAATTGGGAGCACAGTGAACACAATCCTCAGAAAATGCAGCATAAGAACTTTGCATTAGGAGCTTGTTCATGGAGTACCTTGATCTCAGCTAGATGAGTTGCTGTTGACATTTGGCTGACAAAGCTCTAGGGGAAGCTGGTGGATGCTAAGAAATAAGACATTTGGTGCAATTAGCTGTGGTACCAACCCAGGAATGAAAGTAAACAGGCACAACATGCATATGAGAGGATTCTTCAGAATCAAGGCTTAAACTGCTTGCGGCTGCAGCAATTCCCTGCTCTTTGTACATTCTTTGGCAATTACCTGTTTAAATAACTGGTTTGCCTGCTTTTAGATCCTGGAGAACTGCAACTCAATTTGGCTTCTTGTCTCCCCTTCCTCATCCCAGTATGTGCTGAGACACTGCACCCTACCCTGAAGCAGCTGCCTCAGCCCACATCTGCTGCGGAGGGCTGTGTTTAAAAATTAAACTGATACACATTTATGAGACCTAGATGGGCAGAGTCAGTCTAAATTCTGAACAGACTGAAATGACTGCAGGGGTGTCAGCTGCTTTTACATCCCTGAGCTTTATTGAATATTATACTGGGCAGAGAAATGGTCTTTGTTCAGGAACAATTTGTGCTACTTGATGAAGTGACTGCCTAGTCATTTGTCTTCTGCAGTAACTCTCATGGGAAAACAGTATCTTTTCTTGCAATTTTAGTCATGGATATCTTGCAGTATTTTCATATTCTTAAATCTTACCTTCCTAAAGCAAAAATAGCAAAATTTCAAGTTTCTTTGCTTAGTCCCTGAAAAGTTGCAGCAATTACAGAAATAAGCAACAACTATCATATGAGAAGCTAAATGTTGTATCTGAGCTTGTGTGATAACCTCTGGATCTTCCAGACAGCTCTTAATTTGCCAAGGAAAAGTTCCTTGCAAAATTTCCCCAGATAATAACTGAGTCGAAGAACTGGGGTAACAATGTCTCAGAAAGTTGAACCCTCTAAAATCAACTTAAAAACCATTAAAGTTTCCCCTTTCAAATAGGAGAATTAAAATATTACATGCATGCAAGTTTTAATTTGGAGGTAATGAGCAATGTTAGGTTAACGAAGACACTCTTTCTCTTTCTATGAGTCTTCCCTTTAGCTACTAGTAATTCCTGCAGTACTGGTGATGCTGTCAAGTGTCAGAACCCGTAGGAAGCAATGGTGAGAGGAGGTGGATGGCCAAGGACTCAGTGGCACATCTCAAACAGCAGTTAACTGCTCCAAAATGTTTTAAATCAGATAGGGGTAGAGTAAGGAAAGGAAAAATACCACCAATAGCATAAATGAACCAGGAAGATACTCTGTTGGAGCACAGTCTGTTGGGAAAGGCCTCAAATTACCACAGGCAGGCAGAACACCCAGCCAACAGACTGGTAACTCCAGGGATGACTGCAAAGTGCAGAGACAACGCCAAACCAGTACAGCTGGTTGTCTTGACAGAGGAATGCCATAAGGGATTATTTTTATTGCTTAAAGGAATAAATGCCTGGGAGGTAAAGATGAGGGACATTTTGACTCCTTAGAAGCCAAGAAATTATGCACTAAAACACCAAAGAAAAAGGATGTAATTCTAATCTTAGGCGGCCTCAAATTTATGAAGGTTCAGAGATCTCATCTGTCTGCACATCTGAATAATCAGTCTTAAATTAACTGCATTAAAAATTTAATTACTTTTTTCTACTGCAGCCACCTCCCTCTCCCCTTAGTATTTTGTGGCAGAGTGCTGTCGACGATTTCTGCAGCTTCAAATTTATGACTAATTGTCGTTAAATTATTAAGAGTCTTCGAATCACATATCTTTTATCGACCTGTAGACACATTTTGTGTATCTTGATCAAACTCCTTTTCAATAACCTCACTCTCAAAACACAGCTTCCCCCAAAATCATTTTACATCCCCAAAAGGTTATGGTATCCTTGGTTTTGCAAAGTGGGTGATTTAAAAAAAAAAGCCTTAATCCTTCCTCCTAACAAGAATAAGATGTGCAAAAACTTTGGTTTATATAAGCCTTCCTGGAAAGCATAAGAGAAACTGAAATCCGTAAAAGCCGCAGTGTAATAACATAAAGAAGTCAACTTTTTGTGAAGGTACATCTCTCTATCAGGATACATTAAGAAGACAAAATTTCTGGCCTCAGTTTTACAGAAACTGTACAAAATGCGATTAACTACTTGGATTGTTCCCTTATGTCAACTATGTACATTAGGTAGGATACTACGAACATATTATTTGGCAAAAGAATGATTTTCTATATGAATTAAAGAAACTTATGTCCAAATCTGAAGAGTTGCATTGATTGCCTAAAAAAAATTAAAATAACAAGCTTTACTTGACCTACAAGCTTACAGAATTTAGGGCATAGGAAATGTTAAAGCAAGAGGATGATTGGAGCAGGGTCCTTTAGGTTCAGTTGATGTGCAACAGTTCCCTGTCACTTCATGCTATCAGCACTTATTCAGCTGACACCAGCAAGCCAGGTAAAGCTGTGCTGAAGTTTTATTTGTACAGCAATTTTAAGCTTGACACTGTGGTTGGACTGCAGTAATGAACTGTAGGACTTTACGGGAGAGTGAGAAGAACCAGAGTGAAAGTGAGACATTGCTTCTCTCTGCACTCTCCATTATGCTCAGTGAATACAATGGGCATGTGCAGCACTTTAAAAACTGGAGTAGTGCTAGAACAGATCATAGAATCACAGAATCATAGAAATAGCCGGGTTGGAAGAGACCTCTGAAATCATCAAGTCCAATTCTTGATCCACTATCACCTCGGTTACTAAACCATGGCATTCAGTGCCACATCCAATCTCATCTTAAAAACCTCCAGGGATGGAGAATCCACCACTTCCCTGGGCAGCCCATTCCAATGTCTGATTCTTCTCTCTGTAAAGAATTTCTTCCTAATATCTGACCTAAACCTCCCCTGGCACACCTTAAGCCTGTGCCCTCTTGTCCTACTGCTGGTTGCCTGGGAGAAGAGACTGACGCCCACCTGGCTACAACTTCCTTTCAGGTAGTTGTAGAGAGTGAGGAGGTCTGCCCTGAGCCTCCTCCAGGCTAAACAACCCCAGCTCCCTCAGCCACTTCTTATAGGACTTGTGCTGAAGTCCCTTCACCAGCCTCTTTGCTCTTCTCTAGACCTGCTCCAGCACCTCAATATCCTTCCTGAACTGAGGGGTCCAGAACTGGACACAGCACTCGAGCTGTGGCCTCACCAGCGCTGAGTACAGGGGAAGGATCACTTCCCTAGACCTGTTGGTCACACTGCTTTCCTACTAAGTGCGAGGTGAAATAAGAAGCAGGAGAATTGCTTGTGCTACAATGCAGTCTTTCAAAATATAACAAGTAGATACCTGTCCAGCTCTCATTCTCTTGCTGGCAACCCAGGTGGGCATTGTCCATGGCTGTGCTGGTACAGTGCAAGGTCAGTGTTAGTTCCTGCATCTTCATTACCTTTGAAAACATCTTTGGTTACTAAATAATCATGAATGCTTGCTTCAGTAGAATCTATCAATTCATCCTTGGATTTGCTTGAACATAAACTCAGAACACAATTTAAGACAGCGATTCCTAAGGAACTGGGGATGAGGGAAAACTTATTCCAACTATGTTATCATTTCCAATATTACACCCAATGCCTCAGAGAGCTGGTAGCTGATCACTTTGTACAGCTCTTCATTGAGTCAGAACATGGCAACTGGCAGTCTGAGCAATGAATCATGATCCAGTGGCAGCACACAGCTCTCATAGCTATCCTAACTCTTCCCAATCAACCCATAGGCTAATGCACCTACAGGAATTTACTTCATTAACTCAAGAGTGAGACCTTTTGTCAGTGAATCATCCACTCCCTTGTAAAGCAGAGCATGCTACTTGTCCATATTGCACAATTAGTAATACACATAAAGAGACTTAGGAAATCTTCATGACAAAGGCAGAATAATAATGATTACAGATCTAGATGGATATATATAATATATAATTTAAAATTTTATTTTAAAACTTTGCACATACACTTCTTCAGTATCCTCCTCTTTTGTTCATTGCACTGAAAAGTTTCAAAAAACACAAAATATATCCCTTTACTAAACATTTTTTGTTCTTAGGTTACAAAAAAATGTGCATTTCACAGTCACAAAGCAGAAGTACATTGGTCCAAAACATCTTCCTTCAGCAGGTCCTCCTTTCTTCAGGACGTATAAACCCCAGACAGTTGTACAGATCTTAAGATGAATTGCCCAATGAAGGAAAGAAAAATGTGGCAGCTATTAAAAAGAAATAAAATCAAAATAAGACACCTATGAAAGAACACCAACAGCAATGGTTAAAAAAAAAAAAAAAGCAAAATGAGCATGGAGGTGGACAAGGGCATCCTCCTTCAAGTACATCACAGGTAGAAATACAGCAGCACGGTTACAGCATCATTTGGTCACTCTCTCTGTAGTAGCCACATCACTGAATCTTCATCTAAGACATATGGAGGAAAACTATTTACACACCTAAAATGTTCAGGAAAAACAACAATTCCACAAAGTTAGCCATTCATGTTTGATACAAAACTGTTGCAAGTATTTGTACATAAAACATAAAATAAAAGCAAAACAACTGAGGCTGGAAGAAACACAGCAGATTTGCTCAGAGCATGTAGTGTTCTTTAAAAACTTAGCAGAAGTTCAGAGCCAAAATTTGCCCAGACATCCTGGAGGCACAGAGTCAACAGTACCTCACAGACCTCTCATCATATTTTAATATGGAAGTAACTGTAAATGGAAACCTACTGATAACAGGATAACTCTGACCACTCTTCCATTAGCTTGTTAGTCCTGTTGTTTTTAAGAATTTTTTAACAAAATTCTCTCTGTCTCCATCATGAGGCCACTAAACATCTTAGACAATATGCTTTTGTGTTCATGAAGGAAGCATTATTGCCTTAACCTACCAAAGGATGGTTGTGTGCCTCACATAAGAACGTGTAAACAAAATTTCTAACCACCTTCTTCAACAAATTAAACAAACAAAATTTTAGGCTGTAGTGCAAGAGAAAAGTGTTCAAAACGTCTGTACTATCTTCTGCAACAGTATTCACAGGAGAATGGTAGAAGCTTCTTGATTTTGAGTTTCTGGAAGTGGGACTGGACTAGGCACCAGAAAACAGTGTTACTCTGCACTAGCAGCTAACTGGCACTCTATTATTAGCGCCTTTCCTTGCCATTATCCAAGGAAGGATAAGAACTTGCCCAACTTTGGAAGCAATACCCATGCACAGACAAGGTTCATCACTGTGCAATAGCAATATGAATGCAGATGTAACTCTGGACTGAGGTTCCTTGCTGCAAAGGCTTAAACAGTTTTGGATACTAAGGGAACTCGCCTGGCAAAACCCAGCACTGCTGGCATCAGGCAGTAACTAAAATAACATGCCAAGGATCTAAAATTTGGACTTGATGCCTAACTTGCTCCAGTTTGAGGACATGAGCTGTCTGCTCCTAACTCGTGAGCTTCACTGAGCCCTGGAGCGCTGCAAGTCTGAATGAGGCACCCATCTGCGCCTATCTGAAAAATGGTATTTTGCACCACGGATCCTCCCTGCCATCAGTGGTTTCTAACGCTGCAACTCATAAAATAATTCAGCCTATAAAGAGAATTGGAAATGCTTTTAATTATTCTTGCTTCTTGCACAATACCTCCCCATTAAATTACTCCTTCCTGCTCTTTCTGTGAGGCTGTGGTGTGAATATGTATTTATACCATGCCTTGAAGCAGAGCACTGACCCCAGTGCAGGGGATGTAAGAAGCTCCTACTGAAAGCAGATAGAAGTGAAAGCCCAAGTACTAATGCAGCAGGTCAGATACACCAGACACTCCAGGGAGGCAAGCACCTAAATGTATAAGAGATACTTTGTAAAAAAGCAAAACGAAAAGCATCACAGCATAGTTTCAGTCATATACTGAAACTTTTTATTGAAATTCTCAGAATTCATTCATTGATGCTAATTGACACTAACTGTTGATACTGCACTTCTGCTCTTTCCAGGAGAGAGACTGACAGTGAACGCTGAATGCAACTCAACCTGGGCCCAGCCACTGCAACATCAGATGACTGATATTGTCAGATGAACAAACACTGTGCAAGCTGATTCACCAGGACCCGCCAGATCATGGTCTGAGAAGTCACCTATTGGTTTGCTTCCCACCAAGTCATGCGATCCGCTAACCCCTCTCTTCAGGGGTGCATTTAAAAAACACTCTTGAATGAGAAGTTGTTTCACTTTTAAATTTTGGCAAATGCTACACAGGAAATCTATTTCCACCACATTGTACTCAGTGATTTTATAAAGACTAGTATGTGTGTTGACACCATGTGACCAAATAATGACCAGCAGTGCATGAGCACTGAAATATTTGACTCAGGCTTGTAGTTGGTACCAGCAAGCACCAGCTTCTCTGCTGTTCAGACGGTTTCACCAGATTTGCCAGCACTAGTTTCTTTATGAAAGAATATCTGAATTGCTAGACAACTATACATCTGCATTTGCAAAGAGACAACAGGAGTTACATAGAGCATGAAAAGCAGGTTTACAAGTTTATTAGGCCAAAAAAAAGTGTGAGAAGTTCTCTTGCTTAAACGTTGAAACATATGAGGGCCTATGGGAAAAAATATTCTAGACTCCAAACCTCTCTTTTCACTCAGATGCATACAGAGAAAGAGGTAAAGAGAAAAAAAATAAGGAAAGAAAAGATAAAGCATGACAGCACATAATCAGATATGCCATTGATTTATGCTGAAGCTCTAGAATATAAAACATCTGTGTTCTGCACAGCTTTATCACATGCAGGCACTGGGGAACTCATGGAACAGTTTTCAGGCTAAAATCATGCAGCTTGCTGCATGTTTGAGCCGTTATACACACCACATTGCCTGCTTCCATCCTGAAACCCCTTCTTGGTCTAGAGATTTAGAGCAAGAGTAGTTTAAATCCACCAAACTGTTGCATATGTACTTCCGGATGCAATCAAATACAGCATCTGGGCAGCTACATCGCACTCACGCCACGTCGTGTTTACACAGCACATCATAAACTACAGAACTGGCAAGCCCTGGGCCACACCTGTTCAAAATAAAGTCTACAAAGTGCACAGCATCTTCCTTCTACTTACACAACATTTGTAAGCTCCCTCGTCAGTGCCGTACAATTACATCAGCTCCTGCCTTTTTTCCTGTCAAACAAGTATAAACCAGATGAACAGCTCCACATGAATGTGGTCTGGGAGCAAATTAGGTGGAAGATGGCTCCCCAGCCAATATACCTGCCTATATGCTAGAATTTTCTAATTTTTTTTTTTTTGACCAGACAGCAAGGTTACACTGCAGATTTGCTCACTTGTTTCTCTCACGGACTACTGCTTTCACTTCGATAATGTTTTATGCAAATTTCCTTTATTTAAATTGATTTATCACTGCTAAGGAAAATGCTGGTAAAGCTTGCCAAGGACTTGAATCTATCACAGTCATACTGTAATCCTTGACTACAATTCTCAATGCCAAAAGGACAAAAAGTTATAAGCTGTCACATTCTGATCACCCAAGTCAAGCAGGCAAAGGTATACTGAATAATAAGTGAGGCAGGAAGAAGTGAACACCTTTTAAATAGATCACTACCTGGGTATTCAGATTGCTAATGAGAACAATACCACCAATTCCAAGTAGGAATCCAACTAAAAATACACTCAGGAGCCCAAACAAATTTACTAAATCCCAACTGATGCAAAAACTTTATGATCAAGGATCCCTTCAACAGGATAAAGCAGGCAGAATCATTCAATGAATGTAAATCTCTGATCCCAAAAAACCCACAGCCTCCAGGTAAACATCACATATAGCTGAGTTTGCATGCTCTGTATAATCATGGTATACACACAACAAGGAATCTTGATGAATAACTCCTCACACCAGCATAAATTCTGCCATACAGGATTGTGACCTACTTCTCCTGGACAATTTTGCAGGTTGCTGTTTTAGCTGAAGTAAACAGGCATAGTCACACTGAAAACGATTTCAGTTTTCCTACTAAAATACAGGAGGTATGTACTGAAGAAGAGATGGGAGAGGAAAAGGGGGGCTCAAAGGATTACACAAGTTTGAAGTTGTCCATAGATAAGTCATGAATACAACTTTTTGAAAGAAGAAAACTCTTGAGTCTTATATATGTATGTATATATATATTTTTTTTTAATGAGATGTGACCCAAGTCACCTTCTGAATATTTGGGGGTAGATTTCAGGAGCCTCTGTGGCTTCTGATACCCACTTCTACTTTCACAACTGAAATGGCTCTTCCAAGCTACATGGTAAACTGAGAAAAAAATTAATTCCCCACCCCACCTGGAGGGATGACAGAATCAATAAAATGCTAGCAGCATTTAAATCCCATTCCTGTTAAGCACCAAAACCATTTCTATAGGGAAATTGGAATCTTAAGGGTTACCTTTAATCATATACAGTATATGTGCAGAGCCCTACCTTTCGGGCAGAAAAATACCCCTCCAGCGTTACATCAGTTGTAAGTGTCCTGGTCAGACCACCAAAACCATAACGTCTCTTACAGGCCCTTCCCAAAAGGATCCCCATCCTATAACCACTCTTGATGCTACTTTCATGACTGTTTGTTCCCATGTATTAAAGGGATGACGTAGACAGAGATGTCGTCTCCAGATCCCAGCCTGTCATTGGATATCCGCCAGCCCCGGTCCTTCAGCACTCCCCTGGCTCGCATCACCAGGTCCTGTGCCGCCAGCGTGTACCTGTGGAAAAGGCAGAACACAGCCAGGGAGTGTTTGTCTCTGTGAGGAGAGTGGGTTTTCACAGCCTGCCACCTGCTAGATTTAATGTTGTGACCTACTACGACACGTTTCCTGGTGTTTTAGAAGCAGGCAGGAAAAACATAAACCACGGCATACCCACAAAGCAACTCCTTCCAGTTCAGTGACAGCTCCTGAATAAGAACGGAAAGGTATTTGACAGACACCACTTGACCAAAAGTTATTGGCTGTTCTGGGTGCCTGGTTTCACCACTCTTCAGAAAAGTATTAAACACGCTTGTCTTAACAAATTGGCTTTCTAGGAGTAGTCTGAAAAATTGAAGACCCCAAATAACACTATTTGTTGAAAACTACATGCTTGTTCACTGACACACCTGAAGGTAATCATATCTCAACTACTTCAGAGATGAACTGTAACAAAGAAAGTAGTTTGGAAGCATGAAATATAAAATCCAAATTACACTTTAAGCCAAACTTGTCTGTTTTCCTTGACTGTAGGAATGATTTTTAAATCTCTTTTATTCTGAAACTGGAAAAGGAAACTTACAGTTAATATGGCCAGATTAACAGAATCCCACAGTTCTTTCACATTTATAAGTTCAATGAAAACTGCATGAATGTGAGTTGTCAAGTGCTTAATTTAGTGAAATACCAAGGTTCATGTTGCTTCAAAACTCCCAGCCTGTGCTGGGCTGAGTGGCATTGGATTTATGGGAGTTATTTTCCTGCCCTGAAAAAATACCACATGCTGCTTGGGGCAGAAGGATGTCAGAGACTAAAAGTGGAGTATAGACAGTGCTCTGTCACATGTGTTGATAAGTCCTTCCCTTAATGCTTTACCAGCTGTTACTACATCAACACATCTCTGTACTCAGAAATTTCCTCTGAAAGAAATCTCATTATGGGTGAACAGCTACTGTCACATGTTTTACTTCATCAGTCCAACACCTGGCCAAGATGTTCTGAATTTAGCTGAGTGGAGTCAAACTTTTCTATTATAAGATAATTAAAAATTACTTGAATAGTTAGAAGACTGACAAGAAAAAAACAACAGTTTTTTTTGTCAACAGACAAACAGTAATTTCTATCAGTAGAGAGATTATTCAGTCTCTGGGGATAAAAGAATAAAAAATACCCAATTATGTTCTCTTGCTAGAATTATGATCCTTTAATTCAAATGACTCCTTTGAACCAGGAACAGATATATTTGCTCTACTAGAAAGATTTCTTTAATGCAAATGAATCAACACTTGATTACTCAAAAGGTTTGATGTTAAATTCAAGTAATGTTGTACAGCAGCAATGCACCCCTGCCACTAATGGTACCAAGAGATAAAATTTCCAGCCCTCACTAATTTTGACGATTGATTTACTTTTAGCCATAAGAGAACAGTCTAAAGACACAAAATCCAATGCACGTGCTTGCACATACACATGCACACTGTCTGCATGTTCCAAGATTAGTCTGTATCAACAACCTTGAGCTATAATAGCAGGATAACAAGAAGCACTGGTCTTACTGTTGTAGTGCAACATGAAATCTTATTTTCTAATGGGGAAAAACCAAACACACATACTTGTGCTCCTCAGTTCCCCAGTCAGATGCAGGGCTAAGGAACAAAAGGACTCCATGTGGCAAGCAAGAAACTGAAATATTTATTCACAGCATGTCTGATTCTGAGTGAATTTTGGCAAGAACATATTTCCCAAGGATTTTTCAGCTATTGTCACAACTTAAGAGAGAAACACCCATCATTCTGCAAGAAAACTTTGCTTTCCTGCTTTTTCTAATTAACAAGGGCTCCCCACATCTAAAGAGTACAAAGGAATGAGTATTGCTTTTGATTGTGTTAGGGTTTTGCTGCTGAGTGTTTGGAAAGGGCAAGATAAAAAAAAGGAATTTTAATAAACCAGAAATACTCTCATAGACAGACTGTGAAATACTCAAGAAAACCAGCACAATGAAGCAAAGGAAATGGAACAGGTGAAGGCAGCAGTGAAGTAACATATTCCTCTCCTGTGTGGAGTTGAATTGAAGCAATGGTATTCAACTTGGCACTAGAGGAGATAGGGTGAGTCTCTTGTACCTGGAGATGAATAGCAGCAGCAGTCCATTACTGAATGTTTTATTCTCCAGCGCTGTGAAATTGGGATTCAGCTCTAGAGACAGCATTAGAGAACTGCTGAAGTACTTTTAAAGCATCCACTTCCTCCTAATGAATAGCCTTGCTGGAATACAACTTTTGTGTTTTAAGAATAAATATATGGGGTTTTTTTCTTCTGCTGGAGCTTTCTGTATTGATCAGTGAAAGTACTGCAGGAGAAATGGTGGCAGGGGGAATCATGCTGCTGTCTGAGCAGCTTATCTTCTCACACCCAGCAGAGGTGGAGGAGCTCCCCGGCATCCTCATAAATCTCTAGCTAGTGCGAGAGACAAAGTGAGAGGGAACAAGAAAAGACAAGAGAAAGGATGAGAAATAAAAGATTGCCAAGGTCAGGAGGTAAACCTGCATAAGTGTAGTTCAAGGAAATGGGCAAAGAGTCATGCTTTTCTGACTTCGTACCTCTTCAGAGAGCTGATGTATGGAAAGCAGCAGTGTGTCCCTACCACCTGTTCTTCACTCAGAGTCCTCTTAATGCTCATCTGCCACAATACCCATAAGAAATCAGTTGGCTAAGAAGTCCAGCTCCACCACAGCCTCTTCACTCCATCACAGTAGTCACCCAGGAACTGTTCTCTAAACAAGTCTGTGCCTATCATTCACTGAGGCTCCAAATCCCCTGAGGTTGTGTCTGCATGGCTGGATGAAGACAGACCAGAGGACTTTGCTCTCCCTGCACTTGGAGATGTCCAGGCATATGCTATGTTTGACAGGATTCAGAGATGGTTTTTATGTGGGCAACAAACACTCACAGAAAATATCAGCACAGGAGAGTCCCAAGAGCACTGCTGAGGGCTGTAAGCTCTTGCCCATGAGGCCATAAAATAAATTGTAATTCAAATGGGAGGAATATTGTTCCCACAAGGAACTAATTATGTAACAGATAAGCACTCTGCAACTCTAAAATCCTATCTTTTCTTTCTTTTTTTTTCTTTTTTCCCTTCGTTAATGCGCTGCTGTCAGGGAGTAAGTAGGCTATTGGGTCAGGCGGATCCAGGATCCGCTCCACAGGCTGGTTCTCTGGAAGACCACAGCGTTACCAAACCCAGGGTGCAAGTCGCTTACATTCTGACAAGTTTTCTACATCCCTAGAGATATTACATTTCCAGCTGATCACCTCACCACAGACTATGTCACTACACTCATCACAGAACCCGACATTTTCTAGGATAACATTTCCTTTAAACATAAGGAAACACACTGATAATACAGCAAACAAGACTGTCCTGTCACTGACTAGTGAGAGGAATGAACACAGCTCCACAGCCCGAGTTGCTACGCTATTGTAAGTTCATCAGTTATACCTCATTTATACCACTGTGAAGTAATTACATAAAACCTCTCACACAGTACTTTAAAACCTTTAATTATTCTTTACAACCAAGCAGCAAGAGCAATTCCACAAAGGTAATTTTCATAAATATCATTGTAAACTATACGAGAGACCTCTTGCATGCTGGCATGAGAAATGTCTTGTCCCTGGTATTTGTAAGCCTCTAAATGACCTGGCACAAAGTTGCTTAAAAGAACAAATTAATTTTCAATTCAGATGTCCATTCATAGACCAGCAGGTCAAATACCAGTAAATGTGTTTGTTCTAAGTTATAAACAGCAGACTCAGTTCTGGAATGAGTGATACTCACATTGGCACAAATAGCAACTAATTACCCACAATTACTAGAGCTAAACCAGTACAAGCAAATCTAAATGAAACAGAGAAAATCTTATTTTCCTTTAGTGTTTCTGATTGCTATGAGTGTTCTATAATGGATGAAAAAAACTACTCACCTAAAAAGTCAAAAAGATCAAACAAAGAATTCCCCCTCTTACTGCAGCAAACATGGTGGTCATCACCATCTTGGTAAAGACCAAAAGGAACTAGACAGAACACACCCTGACTGTATTCACAGCAGACAGGACTGGTAAGGATGGTAAGGAGGGACAACTTTTTCCAAATACTAGATGAGAAACGGAGACAGAGCAGGGCAGAAGTATTGCATATTACCAGGTGCCTTTGCAAGAAGAGACTCAGGAGTGCAGGAATGAGAGCAAAAGCCCCTTGCATCTCTGAATGGTGTTAGGGCATAACTGAAAGCAGATTGGATGGGTCATCTCCTCCTACCTTAAATTAATGGCATGTCTGCACAGCACAGTACCAGACGCCCTGAAAGCGCCCCTCCCTAATTCTGCCTGATCTCCCAGAGAGAGGGCAGGCACAGCTGCATGTCTTGCTGAAGCAGAGACAGCCCTGGCTGTCTTTCATACCACATCTCATCTTCGGTGCAAGGAGGTGGGCAAGGTCAAAATATTGCAGTTGCAGCTTCAGTCTAATCATCCACTCTCCCGATGATTGCAACAAAACCTCTTTTTGCATTCCATATTTCTAAGTGTCAGGGCAAGAAAATACTATTGTTGAGTTATTTCAAAGCTGCTCTCACTTCAAAACCCAAGTGTCTGTCAGGGTGGGCATGTGCACTTATCTTCCTTGTTTGCTGATGGAGAATGGGGCTGACCCTGTGAAGATGATGACTTAGAAATATAAGAAACACCATTTTGAGATGGATCTTGAAGAGTTATTTCTGAAACTCCACTTTCCACAGACCAACTGGGAATGTGTAAAATCTCTTTTCACCCTCTTAGCCCAGGATGAGGGCAGAAGACAGTGGTAGACAGGCCTGAATTCAGGAGCAACACAAACTTCCCTTCCTGAACAGTCCCTAGAGAAGGATAAAGCTCTTTCCACTTTCACAGTCCTCCTGTTTACAAGAAAGATACTTCTGATCTCTAGCATAATATTATAAATCATAATGAAATGGAACTCAGTAGCAGACAGACCTGTAGACTCAGTCAAGGCAGACAGTCTCTACATAGTTGTCTGGGAACTTGTTTGTTTGCATGGTGGTATGTTTTAAAGGCAGAAACTGATAATTTAAGAGGTGATAAAGAAAGGAAAAAAAAAGAATGAGGTAGAATAAAATTGTGAAATAAAACAGAATCCAATTAAATCGAGTCAGACTTTCCACCTCTTTCATCACCTCACCTGTCCTGGTAGCACTGATTATTCCTGCTGAAGGTGGGTTTAAAGGCTGCACTATGACCAGGAATGAGTAGGAACTCCACTATGCAGTATTTATACATACAAACACACAGAGTGAGAGACAGATACTGAGGATGTCCTACTAAGAAACAGTCTTTAGTGTTAAGGAACTATCCAGAGAGAGTTAAGTGGAAACCTGTGGCTGCTCTAAACAGAATTGTTGCCATGTTCTTCTAACTTCAGCTTCCTACACAGGACCTCATACAGCAAACAAAATGGATCCCATGCCAAGATACTGTGATCCCACACCTATTCCTTTGAAGGTTGCCAGTTCTGAGCTATAACAGACCCTCGCCCCAAATGCCCATGTTTGCTGTAGAGGCTCCATCCAGCTTATAAAAATGTTTTCTTATAAGTGTAGCATAGTTCCTGAATGTTATTCATACCATACTTTCTATGAAAATACGTTACCAGAAAGTGTTCTTCTATGGAGAAGCTAGAAAATCAGGGATGAGCACGAACCTGTGGGGATCATCGGGGTCACAGTTTGGTAGAAAGTTAGTGACAGCTTCTGCCACTTCTTCATTTAACAGCACATCCCAGAGTCCATCAGTAGCTAGGATCAGAACATCATCTGGCCCGTGCTCGTACTGCAGGAGGTCATAGACTCTCACCTAAAACAAAAAAATCCAAGAGATTCATGAAGGAGGACATTGTCAGATCTATTTGCAAAATATTGCTGAGCTTGGCTGTGAGTTTAGCAGGTTTGGCCAAGGCACTGAAATACCTCCCAAGGCACTAATGGAGTCTGTCTGCAATTTAGGCCCCAGCATGGCAACCCCTCCTGCTGCAGCTCAGCATGGCTCAGTGCTAACCCCAGCCAGGATGGATGCAAGCATTCCTAAGCCAGGCTCTAAAGCACAGTGCTGCTGTTGCTGCCAGAAGGGCTTGAAGCCTCCCCCACCCAGCAGCCTGGTTTCAGTGAGTGAGGCCCTTCCTTATCATTGGCAGCACTAGTCATATGGAAGCTGAATAATTCATTTGATGAATTTTTGATATTTTCTAATAAAATATTCACAAATAATTGTTTTCACAGTTTGTCTAGATCCATTTAACTCTGCCAGATAAACTGCATGTTTGGAAATGTCTGTATGGCACCAGGCATTGCATTCACCTGAGGCACCTACTGCACTAAAGAGTCCTGCCTGAGGAAGCAAGTGGTTCCATGAAATGGAGAAAAACTGTTTACCTGCTCAGTCACATGTATCTGTAAACAGTTCAGTAGCTAGAGACTGATTCAAGATCTGCACAAAAGTGAAGCTTATTCACACTATTAAATTGTCCACTGACTTCAACTCATCTGTCTGCAGCTTCAGTCAGGCTGATCACTACTGGCACCTCTGTAACACCCTGCCTTTAAAACAACTTCCACCATCCCCTTCCCAGAGAGACTGGGGAAAGCTGGGAGTGGAGGAGGCAGTCACAGAGGTGCTGCAAGGCCATCAGCTGAGCCAGAATACAAGCAAAGGCCATGGAAAGTGTTTTAAAACAAGTCTTTTGTTTGGTGTAACTCCCCTTCCAGCGTCTGCTGTGCTCCAGCTGACAAATTGCCTCCAATTCCCAGGTTGTGATGGGAGCCATTACTAAACACTCACAGAGCACTTTAATTACACCAGCAACAATCACAGATTGAAAGAATTGTAACAACCTTGCCAAGTCACACAGGAGGAAAGGATCGCTATACTGAAGTTTGGAAATGGTGCACTTTGTCATGCACCCTGCTCCAGGCTTGGACTCTACAAACAGCAGCGGCAGTTGGGAAAATTGTCAGTCCAAGCACTTGGCATAACCAGAAAATATGACCTGTTTTATTCTCCCTTGTGGTGCACTCTCCACTTCGGAGCCATGAAACAGGCAATACACATTAAATGCCTGGACCTTTTAATGTAATTATGCTTTTATGGGACTGAAACGAGTACCGGAGGAAAAAAAATAATTAAAAAAAAAATCACCTAGACCTGGCTGTTAATACTTACAAGTTTGCCTTTCACTCAAAAGCACAAGAAGGTCATTTGTAAAATATGACCTTCACTTCATTATCTAAGGTAGCAGTTGAATAAGGACTTTGGAGAGGATTAAATTCAAGGCAAGATACTCTCTTCATTAGAGCATATATCCTTATTCAGACTGAGTGGTAATATAGAAAAGATCCCTATGTGCAGCACAGCTCTCATCTCGAGCTCATTGCATGGAAATCAGTAGCTGTCATAGCCTCCATTCCCAGAATTTAGTTCAGCCTCTTAAAAGCCCACAGTTTCAACTTGGAAATCACTGGGGTGTGGAGGGTAAGTGGGCCAACACAACTATCAATATGCAGCACATATTCTGGTAAGATCTCTTGGGGACCAGAAAATATTTGAGAAAGCATCAGGGTTAATGCTCAGGGATGCACTCAGCACCAAGCCCCTCAGAGGGCTAACCAAGCTTTGAACGTCAGTGCTGGGAAAAACATATCTGCCATGGCTCTCCAACCAAGGTAAAGGTGGGGAACCAAAGCCATGCATCACTGATTTGAATCCTCCTGAAATGAGCAATCTTGTCTGACTATAGAGCAACACTGGGGCAGATAAGAAACTTGTCAAAAGCTACCTGCAGCCAATCCACAGGTCAAAATGTTAGAGCAATACTAAGAACACGTTTTGTTTTGTGGGAAAAGGAAAAAAAAATGCAGTCACTGATTTACTGGGTAATCTGGGAACAGATTTATTGGGTAATCTGTCCTAAAAGGACAAGCTCTGTGAACCCAGCATCTCCAGAGAGGCATACATTGAGAAGGAACTAGATGTCAGAAGTAGTGCAGAGAACAGTGGGATGAGCAATAAAGGAATGTTAGGCTGGTCCCTAGGCTAAGGAAAAGAGAATGCCAAGGTTACAACAGACAAGTTTGGGGCAACTTCAGGTAAGATACTTGCATACAAGTGACCAGTTGGACATGCAAAAAAATGTTCACTGAAATACACCTTTGTCTGTCTTCTAATTACCTTAAGTCCTTTCTTTCTGTCTTTCCTTGGATTTCTAAAATACAGCTGTAGGTGCCCCTAGTATGGTACTAACAAAAAGGAGTTAGAGCTGTCCAGTCTATTGCAGGTTCAGGTTATGTTTGCAGACCACCTTGCCCAGGCACAGAAAGTAGCCAGCTCCTAACCCTTTATTCTTCTGCAAGGAGCTTTGTCCTAGTTCTTATTTGGGTCAACGAGGGTCTCTTACAGTAGCGATATGTGCCTTCTGCTGGACATGGAGCAGTGTGACAGCAGAGCTCTCAGGGGTACATAGGTCAGGCGGCACCACAAAGGCATGTGGAGTGGAAGCTCAGACCAGCAGGGCTCAGTGAACAGCCCCTTCACATACATCTCACAGCACCAAAAGCAGCTCACTGATTGCAATGGAAACGACTGCTTTATTTTCTTAAATTCTAGAATCAACCTTCCCCATGACTGCCTCCCTCCCGTAGCTGTATTTCAGGGAGTAGACAGTGAAGTTTAAGCGATGTTCTGTCTGTGGCACAAGTTTGCACAAAGCTGCACACAATGCAAAACAGCACTGCATAGCCCCATTCGTGCAGGTAACAACTGGTCAGACTGGTAGTGCAAAGGTTTCCTTAACTAGTGATGCACCCTTGACAAATTTTCTAACAATGCCATCCTGAATCTTCAGTCTTTCCCTCATGAATTACTGCTTCTGCAGCCAGACATCAATCCTGATAGCAGCCTACTGAACTTGTGTCCTCTGCCCTAAAATCCTTGGGCTACCTGTGCATTGCCCTCTGCCTCCCATGCTGCCCTGAGAGCCTTCTCAGCAACTCCATCCAGCCTACCAGCTCCTTCTGTGCTGCCCTGGTAAAGCTTCTCACTCTTTAACCTAATCTCTCTGAAGCATCAGGGCAGTCCTCAAAGGAGTCCAGTTTAGTCACCATACTTGTACTGTCCGCTGATGTCTTACTTATGTAAAGCAGCTGACCTGTTCACTAGCTAAACTTGACATTAGTAACCAGAAAATGTAAAAAGCCAACTATAAGGAAGAAGCAGGAGAACCTCAGCAGCAGAAGCAGCAATGACAACAAGCACTGGGTTACCTTTATATCCTATATATAGGACAATACTAGTTAACCTGACTAGTTAACAGATCTGCTAATAGGCAACAGTGGACACACACCACTGGAGCCCATGGCCACACAACATCTTTCTGAATGTGTGTTATGCAGCTTGTCATGTAACATCTTTCATCAGTCCAGGTATTTTTTTCTTATATTACTCACCTACATGCAGTCAAGAGCGTTGAGAAAACCGCTCTGTGCAAGCAATGAACAAAGAGGTGGGCTGCTTTTATATTTACGTTTACAAACAGATCTACCCACCAGACAAAACCTGCCTTTGGCTGCTGAAAGGGACCACGGCAGCTCTGCAAAGGTGCTGTGGTTCGTTTGCCAGGTTTGTTTTTAAGGGTCCTGGCAGCTCAAAAACCGTTCACAACAGTGACATGCGAGCCTGCAGCCACCTGAGGTGCTGGCCTCGGGGGAATTTGAGCCTGCATTCACTCATCTGCACTACTGATCAACTTGGCTACTTCAATAAATTAAGCCCTTACTTAATTGTATCATTCCTTTTTATGTGCAGTGTTATCCAGTGCAGCTTTGCTGGCAAACGACAAGATCTCTCAATACCACCCTCCAAGTAATTTATATGTAAATAATAAAAAGCGGGTCCCAACACTGCTCCCTCCAGCACTCACCAATTAATCTCCTTTTAGCTTTTTACTGCCACCCTTTGTTTCCTGCCCTTTAGCCAATTTCCAGTAGACTGTGCCAACTTTCCACTTAGTCTGTAGCTTCATATCTTTTATATTAATAACCTGTGATGCAGAACAGTTTCACAAATGTTTTCTGAGAAATCAAAGTGCTCTTGCAAGAGCATCTATGCATTTATTATTCTTTTTTTAATTCTCTTGTAGACATAACCTGAAGGACCTCCAGCCACTAAAGTGTGATGTTTGCTTCCTGAAGCCGCCTTGACTCCCTTTGATCACACTGTACTTCTCTGTGTATTTGCCTTATTTGTTCCTTTCAATGGTGTAATTCCTAAAGATTTCTCCAGACAGCAGATGTGAATCTAAAACAGTCTCCTTGAACATATTTGTAGAATTGTCAGAAAGACATATTAACATAATGGAACAAGAAAAATTCTCCTTCATTACCTTCTTATCATTTGTGGTGGTGGCTGGCTTCGGACTCATCGCTGGCAAGGGCCAAATGCTGCCATCAGAGCCACATCTCTCCTCACCAAATGGCTGAGCTCCCATTCAAAAAATTTCACTATAAAATTCTGCTTTTCAGCTGCAACAAGGTAGCTCTTACTAAGCTTCGAAAAGCAGAATTTCCTGATGAAAGCTTTCAAATTAACTGTCCCATTATGAAAAATAAATATTTAATTCCATGCCAGAGAGCCTCAGTCATGGCTTGCCTGGTTTGTGCTACTCATTATAAGAGGTTCAAATCTCTAGAGCTCACCAACCTGCAGAAGTCCTCCAAATCTGGTCTCATAACAGCTGAGCCACTGAATACTGATTACATTTGTCAGTCTTGGCTACATGACTTCTCCTCCCGTAGCCTGGCCCTCTATTAAAGTATCTTTTCACACCACCCTCAAACTACTATTATATGCCAATTTCTGGATGCGGTCTCAAGGATGTTTACCTTTCCTTGAGATAAATTTTGGTGGATATGACATACCAGGGCTTTGTCACCCTGGAAGTAAAATATTCTGAAAACTCAGCACATTGCCCCTGACTTGGGAAAGGACATTGTAATTATGGCACAGAAACAGAACCAGAGGACTTGGATCCTCCCTCTGTCACGACTCACTGTGAGTCTTAATTTCCTGTGACTCCCCTTTTCCAGGTCTGGAAACTACACACTGTGCTTCCCTACCTCTATATAAACAATTTGAAATTCAATGCTGCACAAGGGCCAAATATGACTGCTGCTTGATGCCACTGCCTTTGCTTCCAAGTGCTAAGCTTCCCAGATGGCAGCATAAAGATGTAGTTTCTGTGCAAGGTACACTGTCCTCACATGGACAGGACATGTCCAGGAAAAACAGGAGGAGTTAAAGCAGTCAGGCTCTTTCCGGGAAGAGAAGGAAGAGATGAATAAGAAAAGGAGGTGCAATGGAAAGCAACTTGGAACATATGCTACTTCCTAATAATGCTCAGGGTTGTTGGGTTTTTTGCCAGTATCTCTAAATTAAGGTGGCTGGTGCTCTCTCTTTTCTACTCCTGCCCTCATACATTTCTGCTGAATTTAGCTGTGAAAGGGGTGTGGAAAGAGAGCCAATTTTGCTTCCCTTTCACAAAGCAGTTAAGAGATCCTGAAACGTGGATAGCATACAAACTGGATGTCATATTCCAGAATTTGAACACATACGGACACACTCCACACAAATCAGAAAAGCCCATGAGAAGCTTTGGTTTATACACACAGACAAATACTGCAGCAGCAATTGGCAGAGATGATACTGCAGGGATGCTGTGCTGCAGCCATTATGTACCCCAGAAACACTGGGTATCAGCATGCCAGAGAGAAAAATAAATAGGTAGAATTGCATCATTTTTCTGGCATTAAACAAATCCATCAGAGTGATGAGGCCAGAAGTACTGCCTGTCTGTCTGAAGAGAACATGAGCAGGTCTCAAAGTGAGGGACACCACACATTCAAAGGGGACAGGGAAGGTACATGACTGATAGCAAGGAAACATGATGAAGGGGCTGTCTGTAGATCTCTGCCTTTTCTTCAGGGCCAGAATATCTCAGCACTTGTTAAACTTTTACTTTTATAATTGGAATTTTAAATATAATTTATATATAATAACTATAAATATATACAATTTTTATATTTTTGTTTATAGGCACAGAGGCAAGAGGTGACTACAATGCCACTCTGTGAGTGAGAGAGATTGACTTTAGTCATGGGGTGGATTGTGGTGGCGCATCCTTCCTCCCTTCCCCTCCTCAGTCTACACTACAATGTCAGAAATGCTCACTAGGTCTCAGCCTTGATGGAGAGTACCAGGGCTAAGGTCCTCTTGAGCTTATCAGAAACACTGCCTGCTCCCAGGAACTTATGCTGCCTAAAAAGTTGCTGGTTTTTACCAAAAAGCTTTGGAAACTTATTTCTCTTGCCCAAATAACAACTCAAATGGAACAACATTATAACAGCGTGTACCAGTGTGAATATGTTGTAGCAAATGTACTATGGATGTTGCTCTCACAGACTCTTAAGTATGTTACATCCATATGTAAGTTAAGCCTTTGAGTTACTGTTGTGCTCATAGTAAATTCTACGGAATCTTTTGTCAAATTGTTCAAGTTAGACTATCCACTACGTGTTGTTAAATTCAAGTGCTGTTAAAGCCTTTAGGCCTAAACTGTTGGTCAAGTCCCGGGCTAAGTTTGGCAAGGGGGTCCACTCCGAACCTTGTGGCTCAGTGGGAAGGTATTCCTCATTCCTTTTTATCCTTACCCTTTCCCATCCTTATCCTTTTTCGTGTCTGATCTCCACAGAGGCAATTTGTAGTTGATTTTAGGTTTAGATTGATTGATTTTAGATTTTATTCCAATTTTTCTATGTGTTTCCACCATCTAGTAAGTAGTACAGTGAACCCTGCCGATTTTGTTGCACTTTCATTTTAATATTAAACCTGCTTTTGTCGATAGCTTCGCCAGCGATTCTTTGAACAACCTAAAGCACACCTTCACAACAAATTGCTCTTAAAGATGTTCTAAGCAAGGTGAATTTAATAATTTTGTTCCTTCCTAGCAGCATGATGTCATTTGTGTGTTTTCACTCTCTCATACTGCTATAGCAAGCAATAAATTCGAGGTCAAGTACTGGATGTGTTTAAAACTTCAGCAAGCCCACTGACAGTGGACAGTTTTCAGGATTTGGGCCATGGAAGCAAAGTCACCTCTCATTGTGCAGTCATCAGTTGGTTTGCCCTTGCTTAATATTTTATGAAAAATATGTGACATCTGTTCCTTGACGTAGGAACAGGAATGCAGTTACAGAAGAAAAAAAAAGCAAGGTTTGCATGTTCCTTGTTAACAAATACATTCAAATCCCATTGGAAGGCTTGATATCTTTCACTGCAAGGTCTCTGGTGGTCAAAAACTGGATGGAATTACTTGTGACAAGCAATTCAAAATGAAGGAGGCATTTAAAACTGCTCCTAACCTGAATACTGCATAATCTCCTCATTACACCATCATTTGGGAGAGCACACTCATTATTTGGTGTTTGCACAGAACTACCATAATGAATTTAGAACTGAAGGTTAAGGAGTAGACAGATGGAAGCATAAAGTACGTTTTCTGTGGCTCTTGGCATTTTCCTGCTTAAGAGTTGATCTGTGTAATGCAGGATACTATGCTGCCATGGAAGACATCCATCTGGAGTACATGGATTTACATCTTCTGGGAAGACAGCATGATGTGAACCTCGACGGGAGCTGGAGCACATGAAGGTGAGGGGAGAGATGGATGTCTGTCACACTGAATGGCAAGGCTATGAGGTAACCTTAGACCAGGGAGTGAGAAGGAATCAATGCTCTGCCAGGGATGTGGAGCACATAGCTGGGTAACTTACAATGTTCCTACTATGTGGATGTTACTGTCATGCTACACCTTCGGAAAGGGTAGCATGCTACCTGTAGTAGACCCACAATCAGAATGGACAACTGAGATGAACAAATAAGCATGCTAAGTAAATTTATTTCCCTCTCACAAATCAGGCACTTGAACCTTGACCGTCTTACCTCAGGAGAAGAGGACAGGAAAGGTTTGATGTATATATTGGAGTCGTGTACTTTCAGGTCATGGTCTCCCAGTCCTCGTGTCACTCCAATTGTTGCCATAACCCGAGCCTGGAAATAAAGAAAAGTGATGGGATCAAATCTTGTTACATGCACTGTGTCAATAGGGAAATTCCTACTCTGTAACTGCCACAGCTAGGGATGAATTCTGTTTTCTTTCCCAGAAATTCTAGATTTAACAGAGCTAATCAACGTCAAAGCTTTTCACATTCATGTCATCTCAATTTTCATCATTGTTCCAAGCTTTGTATTCATCCACATCCTGCTCTGTGTACACCCATTTAAGACTAAGACCATCTGTAAGGGACTGTGACTGTGGAAACCTAAACTAGTCACCCCACTGTCCATAGTAGTCTATGAAGCATTCCTTCAGCAAATTATACTGTTAGCAAACAGGTTTTATAAAGAGGGTAAGAGTTTAATTACTCACATAAGGAATCTGTGGCATCTTCCTACTGGCATATTTTTGTATATTCCGTCCCCCAAGGAAAAGTGCCAAGGGCCACTTTAAATTGGTGAGCACACCGGTGACAGTGGCACAGACCATAGTGCTCTCTTTTGGGAAGAGTCGGTCTACAGCAGGTCTGCAGTTACCTCACATCTACCACTTCCTCCCCCAAGCAACATGACTTGTCTTCCAAGAGGTGCTGGGCTCTACTTCATTGATGCTTCTCCAAAGACTGACCAGATAGCTGTCTCACAGGCAGCCCTGCTCTCTGCAGTCTGCTTATCGCTTCCCCCAAAGTCTAGCTTTGCCACAGCAGCTTCTGAGCAGGGGCGTTCACAGCACCAATAGCAGTGAGCAATGGACTCAAAATCATTTTGCCTCTTTAACTCCTGGCTCCCCAGGGCAATAAGAAAGTAAATGAAAAAGATGTGTGTGAAACATTTTTCACATTTTGAACATTTTGCACATTTTGCAATTATAAACCTAATCAAATTCAGAGATAAGCTGAAGGTCTGAACCTTCAAAACTGGGACTAATTTTGAAGATCGTCTATCTATGCATTAAGAATCTAATGCAGAAGGAGAGCACTATTTAGGAACACAGCGAGCATATGAAAATCAGCAAACTGACACCACTACACCGTCATATTGATCCTATTGCTGCAGCCAGCTAAGCTTGCTGGGACCAGCACTAATGATCTCACTGTTCTTAATCACAGAGCAGGAAACAAAGCATACCTAAGCAGAACAGCATTTCTCCCTTTCAAGAAAAACCATCAACCTTCACGTATCAGAAAAATTCAACAGTGAGGTCATGTGCACTAGCTGAAGAAGGGGTGTTATACTTTACAAATCCTGCCCTGAACCCTCCCCTTCCTAAGTTAGACTTTTGCATCTCAAAGCACTATTAAATTATCTTCCCGCTTTGTTTCAGCAAACATAAGGTATGTTGCTATCTTCATCCAGCCTAGTTATATTTTACAATGAAACAGGAACATTTTATGTCAATTATTTAAGACAATCTCATTGCAGCCTACTTACAATGAGAGAAAAACGAAAGCAAACTGACAACAAATGACTGTGTTTGCTATAAAAATGCTTTTTAGTATGTTGAGCTGTCCCTGCTGCCCCCAGACATGAGACTGATTTATGACAGAATCAAAATATTCTTTAAAGCTGTCAAAACGATAAAATAAAGAGATACTGAGTGGAAAACACCGGACTGCCACAGGCTAAACTGAGTGGTAAACAGCACAGAATTCCCTCTTCCTTTGGTCTGAGGAAAGCAGATGTGCTCACCTTCTTGCCTTCTCCATATATAAGGGGAAACTTCAAGTCATCTTCCTCAATGGTTTTGTATGCCCTGTGGGGGGAGGACAAACAACATTTATAAAGCTTGCACTCAATTAGTGACCCAGTGCCCTGAAACAAGAAGCTGTGATTTAAAAAAGAAAAAAAAATTATTTTTCCTAGGGACTCTGTCTCTGAGCCAAGATGTAAATTTCTTTTTCTGCAGAAAGGTTTTCTGTAAATAATTATCCATTTGACCAAAAGGAAAAGTGAAGGCACAGAAATATCTAACATGCCAGGTTGCTCCTATTGCTTGCAAAGAAAGAAGTGGACTGCAATGACATCGTAATCAGGTAAGATATGGTTGGATAAGGTAGCAGCTATACCATAATACAGTGTCATAAAAAACCCCAATCCAACCGACCAACCAACTAAAAAAAAAACCCCAAACGAAACAACCCCAAACCCATCAAGAAACTAACCAATGCCTATATTCATACTATGAAAGTGAAAAGGTGAGCAACAACAGGACATGTACACAGTCACGGTGCAAAACAGCTTTCTGATCCTGTTCTCACCTTCCAGGACCACTTAAACAGAGACAAGCTTCAGGTGCTGAAGAGTCTTAGAATATTTAGTGCTCATTTGACCTTGACTGCAACAGTCAAGGTTGTCAGATGTGTCACACTTCACAGCAGCTTTCCCATGGACAAGAGACAGGAGAAGTAAATGCTCATGCTCTGATTCTGTTTACTGCATACCTGCATACTCTACCTTTCACACATCCAGCTGTTGACACTGATGAGGTGAGAAGGTTAGCAATTTTGCCAGTGAGGAAAAAAAAAAAAAAAAAGATGACTGTCACTCTTATAAGTTGTAGAGTCCTGTGCTTTGTGTAACACGTACTTGAGCTGAGGTACTGGGGTGCCTCTTTCATTGAAGCACATTGCCCCACAGGAGCATGCTTTCCTTCATAGCAAAAAATTGTCCCTCCTCAGCCTTTCCCTGCATGTTGTGCTTCCCTCCTGGCTCATCCGTGCCCAAAGCCCCTGGGGCAATACAAAATTATCCCCAGTGCGGGGGCAAGTGCTCTCCACAGAAGTGGAAGGGACATGTGAGAGGAGGGAAGGTGCTGTGGCAGGTCCCCTGCCAGCACTGCCAGCCCCTGCTGTGTAGCTCCCCAGCTCTCCAGGGCGGCTGCTTGAGCTCTGGGGAGTCACATTTGATCAGGTTTAAGCAATGTTAAGGCCATGACATAAACTAGCAGGAAATTAAAAATTAAGAGTGAAATCCTATATTGTAATTGAACTGCTTCCTGCTTCACCAAAATATGGCATATACTTGTGATCAATAAATGGTGCTGCACCACACAGCTCTACATGCTGCATCACCCAGGCAAGCCTTGGACTTAATGACTCCCCTTCTATACTACAAAACATTGCTATGTACAAAATCCCAAATCAAAACCAGGTGAGGTCTGCAAAACACAGTGGGTGCTTCATGGGAGACCATGTAGTTAAGAATATATTAGTGTATAACCATAATACCTGGGCATCTCTACAAGACACAATTCAGTGAAGGCATTCAAATGGCAATTTGCACTGGAGATGGCAAATAAATTATCTCTTAAACCAAACAAACACAAAACACTACAAGTAGCCAACATGATAATACTTCCCTGATGTTTAAATCCTGGAATAGCGTTTTGTTGGGAAGGATGAGTCAAGTCATGGACTCTGCTCTTGTTCCTTCCTTTATTTTCAACAGGGAATAGCTAACATCTCTGCCTCACTCACTAACTTGAATACCCTTGTTTGAATGTGGAGTAAAACTTTTACTGTCCCTAACTACTCATGTTCCAAAGCTTCCAGATGGACCTACAGGACCAGGAGCCCTGACAAAATCTCCTTGAGGAGTCTGAACCATTCTTTGCATAGAGCCAGATGCGCTGTGACACCAAGACAAAGGATATCAGCTGAGTCTGTTTTAGGCATCAGAGTCAAATGACTACTCAGACCAGAAGCCTAAGAAGACAACCATTCCTACTGGATTTTCAAATTTTGTACATATTTGTTAAAATATGAAACAAAACTAATGTGATGTGATTTAAATTTTTGTAGCCCCCTTTTTAAAGGAAAAATATACCTATTCTTCATCCCAAAACTATATTATCTGCAAGATAACTAGAAATACTTTAAACCAAAGCCCTCATTTTCTACTGCCCTGTAAGTAGCCAAAAACAGGGATCAAATTTATTTACCTCTCTCCTTCTTCCTATGTTCTCCTGCATAACACCTCACAGTGACTGCACTTCAGGAAGAAGGAAAAGTATCATTTAGCCTGGTGTCCTTCAAAGGAATGGTCCCCACTGCTGAGTCCAGCATCTTCTATGGAACCATTATAAGGAGCACTGTCCCTAGGGCCTTCAACTGTGACACAATGGTGTAAGTACACTGGAAGAAGCCTTGTTGCAAGGGCTGCAGCTAACTTTTTCCATCAGGAGATTAGGAAGAGCAGCCAGCTAGCCTGTGACCTCCTGAAGCTATGCAACTAGGTGAGGGAGGTGCAGACAGCTACAGTGATTTGTTCTGTGGTTTCTCACAGCAAGTCACCTCTTGGGTTCAAAACTTGGGTGTCAAACTCAACTCAAACATGCTTTTCTGTTGATGTTACTATTCCGTGAAAAATTATTAGCACGTAAGAAACAATGCTCAGAACTGCAACCACAGCAGCGGAGCTGGCACAGACACACTGAAAAGCAACCTGAGACACACTAGAAAAGTACCCTTGTCCTGCATTACTAGAGAAACAGAATTAATAATATACGAGTGTGTGGTTTGCTGCAAGAGAAGGATGAAGGACAGCTTTTCAGCTAGCAGCTCAGCAACTGCACAGGGGAGAAGGAAGGAAGGAAGCTATGAAGTTCATTTTAATTTATGCCCTGTGAAACCTCCTGTACGTGGGTTTATTTCACACAGGCTACAACTTTCTGGACTATTTCCCTTGATTTGATATGATAAAGTTGCATTTATAGCTTCATGTGCTGTAGGTATATCAAACACAGACATACAGAGAACCTGAGGGGATGGTTTGGCTTTTTAAGTGACAACACGGCCTTATTCAGCCCTGCATGTAATTCAAGCTAGCTCACTCTTCAAACAACACAATGTTGCAACCCTCCACTCTCCCTTATCTTCCTGGTCCACACCCCGGGAGGTTTCGGTGGCCACCAGGGCATGACAAGAAAGGTTATAAAGACAACGCAGTGCTATTCCTTCCTGCTCTGAATGAGCCTAAAGATTGTTAAGTGCTTCTGCCACGTAAACCCCTATTTTTCCAAACGGAAAAACAGGGGGAGCAGAGGGGGGAGTAGAAAAGGCAAGCTTCTGCCCAGCTGGATCTAGCTGTATTTTTTTCAGTTAACTTCATTTCTTCTTTTCATTTCAAAAGAATTATGAAATGCTACTGCTGTCCAAAAATACTGAACTAGGGCTTGACATATGTACCACCCACAAAGTTACATTTGGACTCAGGATCAACATTTTGGAAAATCGGGCCAAATCGCACCAGGAGCCAAAAGAGATGTCAGAACAAAAGAACTAGGACTGACATGATGTTACTCATATGCTAACTGGAATCTGCTCTAAATGCATGGTGAAAAAAATCACCAGAAGCTGCTAAATGCCCAACACAATCTATGGAAGAAGTTTCTTACAGTGCTGAAGTCATTAGCAGTTCTTCAGGCACTCTTTAAACAGACAATTATCAAAGTTACCTGCATATTGCTTGGTCAGAACTTGAAAAACCAGTCAGCTCCCACATGTAGGTTTCAGAGCCAAAATTCTAGATAATATCTAACATATTACAGGTTCTCCTGTCATAAAATCTGCTCTTGAAATTTGCCTTCTGAAAGCACATACAAATTCACGTAAGAGTAGAAGTTGTCGATGACCCAAACCCATATCCATATTATGTTTTATTTCACAGCAAACCATGTAGGGTTAGTGGTCATGGAAAGTATTGCACTGGCATTCCCAGGCACAACAGATGGTGGTGAAAAAGCAATCTACCCCTGACCTGGAAGGTTCAGGTTGTGCACAACAGGGGAATCCAGACTCTGTGCTCTGCTTTTCCATGGCACTTGGATTTAGAAAGTTTGCCTGTGTTTCACATCTCTGCTAGTGACACCTGATAGCAAACTGAGAATTAAACCTAAGGAAGACCAAAAAAAAAAAAAAATTTACATCAAAGGGCTTTAGCTTGAAGCATAGAATAAACCCAAGCACACAAAGCACATAAATAAACAATTCCTGTGGCAAGCAAGCAAGAGAAAGTACTACTGCCTCAGAAATGTCCTAGTTCATACAGAGTACAAGGATAAAAGCATCTCTGAGACAGTTTGTAGATTTCATGTATTTCTACCACCACTTTGCTACCACTGTTAAAAACTCCAATCCTAGGACCATCCCCAAACATCCTCCACCTGATCCCACTCCCCCCTCACCCCAAAAAACCCCAACTCACAACAAAACTACCCCAACTATCCAAATAACCTCCTCCCCAAGCTCAACTTTCTTTGGTCATATCAACAGAAAACCAGGTTTTAATCTTCAAACAACAAAAAACTTGATAGAAACTGTTTCATTTTTTCCCCTCCTACACAAGGAATCAGTGGATTGGAGCTTACCCTTTGGATAACAGAGCTTAAATTACCAGCCCAAAAGGAACTGTTATCTGTACTGCCTATTGAACTATGGGCATCAAAATAGTGTATTGCTATCAAGAAGAAAAGATGTGTAGTGCAGGTTAGGCACAGAGCCACTGAAAATTATGCAATTTATGTCTCAGCCCAGCCATAATCTTAAAAAACATCATTATGCATGTGCTTCTGCAGAGTCAGGATCTCTAAATCCAGACAGCACTGTCTCATACTAAGTACCCTCCAGGTAGGTTAGCTCTAATGTTCCAGCATCTCGGTATCTTTCCCCTATTGCTCATCTGACACATAGTTTAATGAAGCAAAATTACAATAAACAAAGATAATAAAAGCACACAAACTATTGCAATGTTTCT